CAAAAACAAGAACTGGTCGGTTCGGAGTGTGAAACAACCCTGAGTGGGGTATTCATGTTAAACTGCGGCATGGTATCTCAGCATTGGTCAGCACTAGTACAAGCAGCCACACACACACGTGCATGTACCTCAGCTTAACATGAACATCCAACTCAGACACGACAAGGGATGCTGACTCCGAGCCGACCAGTCCTTGGTTTAGCCTCTAAATGTCGAGCGCCAGACAGGGTATCAACAAGTACCATCTTTTAACGTCTATTGGTATGACGTAGCCGGGCATCGAAATTCCGACCTTTTCGGGCGGACGCCCTACCGCTAGACCACGGAGGCGGTCTGCAACTTAATAAAGCAAAGAAGCCACTGAAAGAGATCGGATGATCAGGCTCGGCTACAAGTTAACTGGGTTTCATCTTCCGCCGAGTGCGTGGGATGTTGCTCATAATATAAACAACTGCCTGGCTCGACTATAAACAGGCTGCCGTCTATCAGCTGAAACATTGGTGACAGAATCACATCCATGAAGCAGTCATAAAATATGTTAAAATTCCTGTGTCAAGATGTGGAAACAATGAGCCTTAGTACTCGCTCATTCATGACCCGTGACGATCCGGGTAGGAATTGGTCTTCATGAACCCATGCTTGTCGTAAGAGGCAACTAACGAGATCGGGTGGTCAGGCTCGCTTACTTGGTTGATTGCAGGCTGGGGAATTAAAAGGCCTTTTGAGTTTGTCTTGAACCGTTCAGTCAAGAAACAATCCAGTGATTTTTTTTTTTGAAGGGTGTAAGGTTGTAAATAATCGGGTCTGGACCAGACAATCCAGTGACTGATATCATGAGCATCGATCCACGCAATTTGGATACGATGGTATGCATCAACCAAGTCAGCGAACCTGACCACCCGATCCCGTTAGTCGCCTTTTACGGCAAGCATGGGTTGCTGAAGATCCGGGGTAGAATAGGTCTTCGGCAACCCATGCTTGCCGTAAAAGGCGACTATGCTTGTCGTAAGGGGCGACTAACGGATCGGGTGGCCAGGTTGATGCATGTCATCGATCCCAATTACGGAGATCGATGCTCATGATGTCAATCGCTGGATTGCCTGGTCCAGACTTTATTATTTACAGACCACCGCCATATAGCTGGAATATTGCTGAGTGCGTCGTTTAACAACAAAGAAACCAAACCAATCCACATTTCATGGTCCTAGTAATGGCTATAGAGACGTTTTCGGGTGGTCAGGCTCGCTGTATTGGTTGATGAATGTCATCGTATCACAATTGCGCGGATCAATGCTCATGATATCAGTCACTGGATTGTCTGGTCCAGACCTGATTATTTACAACCTTACACCCTCAAAAAAAAGAAACGCACAGGTAGATTTTTAGTGAGTTTGAGTGAGTGAGTGAGTGAGTGAGTGAGTGAGTGTAAAACCCTTTAATTTCTGCTGCCGATATTAAACTTGAAATTATATCTCCTTTCCGCCGGCTTTCGTCTCCTCCTTGGCAATTGATAAAGCCACAGGTGGATATTACCTTATCTAAACTAAAGACATCTGACACTAATCAACTACAATATCAACAAGAATACAATCAGTTAAGGTGTGAATATGATACTTTTAAATCTATTTTTTTCTGATGGATCCAAGGATGGTGATGCTGTTGTCATTGGAACCAGAACTATATCAACTAAATCCCAGATGAATCTTCAATTTTTACAGCTGAATCAAAAGCCATATTAACTGCTTTAGAATATATAAATAAACAATCTAAACATAAAGAATTCATTATTTTTTCAGACTCCTTATCCTGTCTTCAGGCTATTAAAAATAATTCGTGTCAGCATCCAATTTTACTAGACATCATAGAACTACATAATAACCTTGCGACTGTCCAATATGACATCGTCTTTTGTTGGTTACCCAGCCATGTTGGAATTGTTGGTAATACAATGGCTGATGCTGCTGCAAAAGCAGCACTCAACAAATCTGTGACACTACTTCTTATACCATACAGTGATTTTAAACCTGTCATTAGATGTTACATCAGAGATCTTATGCAGAAGAAGTGGGACACCCAAGTGGGTATAAATAAATTACATGCAATAAAAGCAAATATCGGTTATACCTACTTGGGCTATCAGTCCAGATTTGAAGAGGTCATTTTAAGACGATGTCGTATTGGCCATTCACGGTATACTCATGAATATATTTTAAAAGGTGAGGATCCTCCATTCTGCATCCCTTGTGATGAAAGAATCACGGTCAAGCATGTCCTGCTTGACTGCGTTGGTTTTTCCATCACAAGGGATAAGTATTTCAAAGTTTCTACTATGAAGGACCTTTTTACACAGGTAAGTACTCATTTTTATTCTTGAAATTTTAAAGGAAATTGAATTAATTCATAAATTTTTATTGTTATGTATTGTAAATAAATACATTCATTTTATAATTGGTTAAATAAATCAATAACTGAGATTGTTAGTGTCTTTATCCTCGAAGGGGGTTAAAGTAGTGTAAAATTATTGTCCCCCTGAGAGGGTATGTAAGACCACATCTTTCAAAGTATCTTTATTTCAGCCACGTTTTTATTCGTAGTATATATGTTCGTTTAACTTTGGCTAAACTTTTCAATAATCGCCAACAGCTGAAGGGATGATGTAAATCCGGCTGGGGTCCATGCAGGTAGCAAAAGTACTGTAAGTCCCCATGGACCCTAGCATGGTGATCTACCTTCAGCTGCTGGCGATCTATAGCCTGTTTTTATCTTGTATCGTTATGTGTAGTGCTATTCTCTTTTATAATTCCATACTAGTTTTATATCTTTTTCTGTGATGAATCTAGTAATTTTACTGTCCTTCGTTGACAGGTTTTTATACAAGTTTCAATATATGTATTATGTTTAACTATTAATAGTCACGATATGGCTGAAATATTGCCGATGTGACTTAAAATTTAACTCACTCACTCACTCACAACAGATTTTTAGTAAATCTATGGTACCTAATAACGTCGATATATTCATTTTAATATCACAGATACAAATATGAAATTTTGGGGCTAGACAGTCACGGGTTGTCGTTGTGTTGGCGTTGAAAACAGTTCATTGTCATGTCACATGGGGCCACAAGGTAGCGCTGAACTCAGTATCTCGTGTGACCGCCCCGGGCAGCAATCACGGCTCTGCATCTCCTCGGCACTGACTAGATAAGTGTACGAATTCTGTCCCCTTGGATTCTGCGCCATTCTGCTGCTTGTAACGCGTTGGCCAGTTGTGGTAGTGTCTGCGGTGTGTTCTGGTGTTGACGTACACGTCGATCGAGTTCATCCCAGAGGGGGTCGATTGTGTTGAGATCTGGAGATCATTATTAAGGTAGTCTATCGTGGCACATGATTGGACAAAGGTGAGGTTGAAGAATTTGATCCATGTAGCTGTCAAATTTCCCTGAACCACAACCAAGTCAGATCTCGTGGTGGGGATATGCCCCCCCCCCCCCCCCCCCCCCCACACACACACACACACCATGACACTACCGCCACCGAATTTGTCGAGTTAACGTACACAATGTGGGGAAAACGCTCATTTAGATGACGATAAACACGTTGTCTTCCATGTCGCCGGTGAAGAAGAAATTGTGATTCATCGCTAAACCACACTCGTCTCCAGTTTCTCAAATTCAAAGGCTGTAAGGTATGGCACCAACGCAAGCGTCGCTGTCGATGGATCTGTTGCAAAACAGGGACGATAACGGGTCGGACTCCAGCCTCGCGAAGATGGTTCCTGACAGTCTGGTCCGATACCCTCCTCAAACCAGGGATGCGTCCTGCAGTCTCCGGATCTGTGGCATTGCGATGACAGTCGAATGTAGCGAACCTGTGCAGGGGTGGTAACTCTTGATCGGTCAGTTCTTGGACGGTCTGCAGTGGATTTGAACTCTGTGTATCGGTCCCAATGGCGGCAAATGGTGCTGTGGTGAACGTTGAAGGGGCGTTCAACAGAAGACTGAGATTCACCTCGTTGGATACGTCCAAGTTTTCGAACTTGAAAAATGTTGACAATCGAATGCCAAATTATTGGCATATGCTTGCCTTTTTATAGTCACTACCACGAGTTACGAATACAATAACTCCCACGTGCATTTTGCTTTACTGTTTTTCTCCACGACATTTTTGAACAAGTGTGAAAACATGCCGTTTAACACATTGCAAATCGACAATGGTTGCGTTTTGACGCACCGTTTGTCGAATATCAGGCCACCAACATTTTCCAATAACATATATCCAGTTTATATACCGGATTGTTTGTGTAGTCAGGTTCAATGAACTACATGCTACCTTGCTTTTCTTTGTTTTTGTACTGTTATCATACTGCATTATGCCACTAGCGGCTGTGATGGTGTATAACATATTAGAGTAATCTCCCTTGGCGACCTAGCCGTCGGGACCCCCTGTTTTACCAGATGTACCACCCGTGTATGTATGGCAATAAATACAAGATGGAACACAGAATGTCGTTCTCCATTATTTATTCGTCGGAGGCAGCAACAGCCTAGGGCTAGTTCAAGTGCTACAAATCATTCCCAAAGCGTGAGAATATTACATGGTGTCAGAGTCATGGATCTTTCCGGAATCCCCACCCGATCTATGGACTGGGAAGCATCAAACCTGCCTGATGCGTGGCGGCGTTTTAAACAGCACGTGCAACTGATATTCGACGGACCGTTGGTGGAAAAGTCGGAAGAATCGAAGTGCTCATACCTCCTACTTTGGGTGGGAGAAAAAGGTAGAGATGTTTACAATACATGGACAGGCATTTCTGATGATGACAAAAAGTTACTTCAAACTTACTACACTCGCTACGCAGCATACGTCCAGCCAAAGTTGAATCCTGTTTTCGCAAGGTACAAATTCAATAACGAAGTTCAGGGGTCATCTCACTTTGATCAGTTTGTGACTAGATTAAAGCTGCTAGCTACAGATTGTGCATTTAATACATCTGATGAAATGGTGAGGGACCGCATAGTGTTCGGCACATCATCTACTAAACTTCGTGCAAAATTGATAAATGAAGGGGAGAAATTGACACTCGAGAAAGCAATTCAAATGGGACAAAGTTTGGAATACTCTCAGGAACAGTTGAAAACAATGGCCAACCCTGAGGTACATACAGTTTCAGCCAGTGATAATTCCCATCGACACAAAAAGTATCATTACTCCCGACAGAAATCACAACCTGTAAAACCCCACAACACACCAAATAGAAGATCATCAAACAGTGATGACAAAACACATAGTCAGTGTAGAAACTGTGGTAGATCACATTCTAAGCGTGAACCGTGTCCTGCCAAAGGTAGAAAATGTGACAATTGTGGAAAGTGGAATCATTTCAAGATTGTGTGTCGCTCAGTGAAAGTCAATGAGGTTGTGACAGATGAACGCTTTGATTCAGGGGACTCAGACTTTCTCATAGACTTAATTGATAGCGTGGATACATCTACTGATGTTGACAGTGTTCACTCCAAAACTGAGGATACTAACCAGGCTTTTGTTACTGTGAAGGTAGGAATTAAGGGCATACCAGTGGAATTCAAATTAGATACAGGGTCTCAGGTAAATATCATACCAGCTGGATTATTCCCCAAAATTGGCACTACAACTGTACTCAGTAAACCGCCCAAACAGTTGATGGCGTATGGCGGTACACATGCCGTTTAACACATTGCAAATCGACAATGGTTGCGTTTTGACGCACCGTTTGTCGAATATCAGGCCACCAACATTTTCCAATAACATATATCCAGTTTATATACCGGATTGTTTGTGTAGTCAGGTTCAATGAACTACATGCTACCTTGCGTTTCTTTGTTTTTGTACTGTTATCATACTGCATTATGCCACTAGCGGCTGTGATGGTGTATAACATATTAGAGTAATCTCCCTTGGCGACCTAGCCGTCGGGACCCCCTGTTTTACCAGATGTACCACCCGTGTATGTATGGCAATAAATACAAGATGGAACACAGAATGTCGTTCTCCATTATTTATTCGTCGGAGGCAGCAACAGCCTAGGGCTAGTTCAAGTGCTACAAATCATTCCCAAAGCGTGAGAATATTACATGGTGTCAGAGTCATGGATCTTTCCGGAATCCCCACCCGATCTATGGACTGGGAAGCATCAAACCTGCCTGATGCGTGGCGGCGTTTTAAACAGCACGTGCAACTGATATTCGACGGACCGTTGGTGGAAAAGTCGGAAGAATCGAAGTGCTCATACCTCCTACTTTGGGTGGGAGAAAAAGGTAGAGATGTTTACAATACATGGACAGGCATTTCTGATGATGACAAAAAGTTACTTCAAACTTACTACACTCGCTACGCAGCATACGTCCAGCCAAAGTTGAATCCTGTTTTCGCAAGGTACAAATTCAATAACGAAGTTCAGGGGTCATCTCACTTTGATCAGTTTGTGACTAGATTAAAGCTGCTAGCTACAGATTGTGCATTTAATACATCTGATGAAATGGTGAGGGACCGCATAGTGTTCGGCACATCATCTACTAAACTTCGTGCAAAATTGATAAATGAAGGGGAGAAATTGACACTCGAGAAAGCAATTCAAATGGGACAAAGTTTGGAATACTCTCAGGAACAGTTGAAAACAATGGCCAACCCTGAGGTACATACAGTTTCAGCCAGTGATAATTCCCATCGACACAAAAAGTATCATTACTCCCGACAGAAATCACAACCTGTAAAACCCCACAACACACCAAATAGAAGATCATCAAACAGTGATGACAAAACACATAGTCAGTGTAGAAACTGTGGTAGATCACATTCTAAGCGTGAACCGTGTCCTGCCAAAGGTAGAAAATGTGACAATTGTGGAAAGTGGAATCATTTCAAGATTGTGTGTCGCTCAGTGAAAGTCAATGAGGTTGTGACAGATGAACGCTTTGATTCAGGGGACTCAGACTTTCTCATAGACTTAATTGATAGCGTGGATACATCTACTGATGTTGACAGTGTCCACTCCAAAACTGAGGATACTAACCAGGCTTTTGTTACTGTGAAGGTAGGAATTAAGGGCATACCAGTGGAATTCAAATTAGATACAGGGTCTCAGGTAAATATCATACCAGCTGGATTATTCCCCAAAATTGGCACTACAACTGTACTCAGTAAACCGCCCAAACAGTTGATGGCGTATGGCGGTACACATGCCGTTTAACACATTGCAAATCGACAATGGTTGCGTTTTGACGCACCGTTTGTCGAATATCAGGCCACCAACATTTTCCAATAACATATATCCAGTTTATATACCGGATTGTTTGTGTAGTCAGGTTCAATGAACTACATGCTACCTTGCGTTTCTTTGTTTTTGTACTGTTATCATACTGCATTATGCCACTAGCGGCTGTGATGGTGTATAACATATTAGCGTAATCTCCCTTGGCGACCTAGCCGTCGGGACCCCCTGTTTTACCAGATGTACCACCCGTGTATGTATGGCAATAAATACAAGATGGAACACAGAATGTCGTTCTCCATTATTTATTCGTCGGAGGCAGCAACAGCCTAGGGCTAGTTCAAGTGCTACAAATCATTCCCAAAGCGTGAGAATATTACATGGTGTCAGAGTCATGGATCTTTCCGGAATCCCCACCCGATCTATGGACTGGGAAGCATCAAACCTGCCTGATGCGTGGCGGCGTTTTAAACAGCACGTGCAACTGATATTCGACGGACCGTTGGTGGAAAAGTCGGAAGAATCGAAGTGCTCATACCTCCTACTTTGGGTGGGAGAAAAAGGTAGAGATGTTTACAATACATGGACAGGCATTTCTGATGATGACAAAAAGTTACTTCAAACTTACTACACTCGCTACGCAGCATACGTCCAGCCAAAGTTGAATCCTGTTTTCGCAAGGTACAAATTCAATAACGAAGTTCAGGGGTCATCTCACTTTGATCAGTTTGTGACTAGATTAAAGCTGCTAGCTACAGATTGTGCATTTAATACATCTGATGAAATGGTGAGGGACCGCATAGTGTTCGGCACATCATCTACTAAACTTCGTGCAAAATTGATAAATGAAGGGGAGAAATTGACACTCGAGAAAGCAATTCAAATGGGACAAAGTTTGGAATACTCTCAGGAACAGTTGAAAACAATGGCCAACCCTGAGGTACATACAGTTTCAGCCAGTGATAATTCCCATCGACACAAAAAGTATCATTACTCCCGACAGAAATCACAACCTGTAAAACCCCACAACACACCAATTAGAAGATCATCAAACAGTGATGACAAAACACATAGTCAGTGTAGAAACTGTGGTAGATCACATTCTAAGCGTGAACCGTGTCCTGCCAAAGGTAGAAAATGTGACAATTGTGGAAAGTGGAATCATTTCAAGATTGTGTGTCGCTCAGTGAAAGTCAATGAGGTTGTGACAGATGAACGCTTTGATTCAGGGGACTCAGACTTTCTCATAGACTTAATTGATAGCGTGGATACATCTACTGATGTTGACAGTGTCCACTCCAAAACTGAGGATACTAACCAGGCTTTTGTTACTGTGAAGGTAGGAATTAAGGGCATACCAGTGGAATTCAAATTAGATACAGGGTCTCAGGTAAATATCATACCAGCTGGATTATTCCCCAAAATTGGCACTACAACTGTACTCAGTAAACCGCCCAAACAGTTGATGGCGTATGGCGGTACACATCTTCAAACTCACGGTACATGTAGCTTACCTTGTCAGATTGATGATCGTGAATTCACAGCTGAGTATTACGTTGTAGAGACGGAATCAAACCCTGTACTCAGTCTCAAAACATGCCTTGAATTGGAGCTTATCCAACTTACCTGTGCGGTTGATACTTGTGGATCGAGTGAGAAATCTGGAAAACCTCTTAAGAAGAGCACCATTCTTGCAGAATATGCCGATGTGTTTGAGGGCATTGGGCTCTTTCCAGGTAAATGTACGATACACATCGATCCGAGTGCTATCCCTGTAGTTCACCCACCACGAAAAGTTCCAGTCGCACTTCGTGAAAGACTCAAACACGAACTTGATCGGATGGAAAAGTCAAACATCATCACAAAGGTTGATGAACCAACTGAATGGGTCAACTCTTTAGTAATCGTTGAAAAGCCACACTCAAAGAAACTGCGCATATGCTTGGATCCATTGGACCTGAATCGTGCTATACAGCGTCCACACTACCCAATGAAAACACTTGAAGACATCCTTCCAAGCCTCTCTAAGGCTCGTTATTTCACTAAACTCGATGCTCGATCTGGATATTGGGCCATCAGACTGGCTGAGGAATCTTCATTTCTTACAACGTTCAACACCCCGTATGGACGTTACAGATTTCTTAGACTACCCTTTGGGATACGTTCAGCACAAGATGAATTTCAGCGAAGGATTGACGAGTGCTATGAGGGACTAGATGGCGTTGCAGCCATAGTTGATGACGTTCTGGTGTATGGAAGTACTCCCGAGGAGCATGATCACAACCTGCGGAACATGCTTTCCCGCTCCCGTGACAAAGGTATTAAGCTTAACGAAGAGAAGCTTGAAGTTGGTGTCACAGAGATCCAATACTTTGGACACATCTTGAGTGCTGAAGGCCTCAGACCGGACCCAGCTAAGGTCTCTGCTATATGCTCAATGAATCCACCACGTGACCGCTCTGAATTGGAAACAATTCTTGGAACGGTTAATTATTTAGCCAAGTTTGCTCCTAATCTGTCCCAGATCACCAGCCCTCTGCGACAGCTCCTTCCCAAAGACGTTGAGTTTGTGTGGGATCATCCTCAGTCCACAGCGTTTCAGAGAATCAAGGATATCATCACACAGACACCTGGGCAAGTTCTTGCCTACTACGACCCAGACAAGGATCTAACACTCCAAGTTGATGCATCCAAGTATGGTCTTGGTGCCGCTCTCTTACAGGATGGGAAGCCTGTCACTTATGCATCTAAGTCTTTGACCACCACGGAGGTCAATTATGCACAGATCGAAAAGGAAATGTTTGCTATCCTGTTCGGCTGTAAGCGTTTCCACCAGTATGTTTATGGTCGGCATGTGAAAGTCGAGTCCGATCATAAACCTCTCATCTCTATCATGAAGAAGCCTCTTGCTGTCGCCCCTGCTCGGTTACAGCGTATGATGTTGCAGCTACAAAAGTATGACCTCACAGTTGAACACAGACCTGGGAAGGAAATAGTAGTAGCTGATACACTTTCACGCAAGTCAGTGCCTGATACCTACCCGCACCTTTCAGAAGGTATGGACGCGCATGTCCATATGATAGTATCAAATGTTCCTGTCAGTGAGAAGAGGATGGAGGATATTAGACGAGCCACAGAAGCTGACCCTCAGTTCTCCTTGCTCCAACAAACTATCATAGATGGTTGGCCTGAACATAGGAAGCTATGCCCAGGGACAATACTTGAATTCTGGAACTTCAGGGACCAACTTGCCTTCATGGATGGCATCATATTCAAGGGCCAGAAAATTGTCATACCCAAGTCCCTGAGGACAAGTATGCTTGACAAAATTCACACTGGACACATGGGAGTTGAAAAGTGTCTCCGACGTGCTCGTGACATTTTGTTTTGGCCCAAAATGTCGAATGATATCACAAGTCTTGTACTCAACTGTTCTGTGTGCCTAGAGAGAAGAAACTCTAACCCCAAGGAACCCCTCATATCACATGACATTCCCAGTCGTCCTTGGCAGACCGTGGCCACAGATCTCTTCTTATGGGACACCCATGATTTTGTGGTCGTTGTCGACTATTATAGCAGGTACTTTGAAGTTTGCAAATTACCCAGCACCAAAAGCACCACTGTTATCAATGCTCTCAAAGATGTATTTGCGAGACATGGGATACCGGATAAGGTGATATCTGACAATGGCCCCCAGTACTCCTCACAAGACTTTGCTCAGTTTGCAGAAAAATGGGACTTTGTGCATGAGACATCAAGCCCTCGTTACCCACAGTCAAATGGTCTTGCCGAGAAAACTGTCCAAACAATCAAGCGCATTTTTTCCAAGGCGAAGACAGATGGCAGAGATCCACACATTGGTATTCTAGAGTACCGTACTACCCCAATGGAGGCAAATCTATCACCCTCTCAGCTACTCATGGGTCGACGATTACGATCCACATTACCTTGTACCCAACATCAACTTTTGCCTGGATCTGTTGATCATTCTCAGTACCAGAAAGTACTACAAGCAAGTCGGAGGAAACAAAAGCACTACTACGATACTGCTGCCAAGCCCCTGTTGCCCCTTAAAACAGGAGAAGCAATTCGTGTACGACAACACAATAACTTGTGGACACCTGCAGTAGTCACAAAGCAGCACAATTCCAGGTCTTACACTGTTCGCACTGGCGATGGAGCGGAATATCGTCGCAACCGACGTCACCTACTAAAGACACGTGAAAAGCATGACATACCTGAAATGAACATTGATGTCACAAGTAGTGAGTTACCACGTGTTCCACAGACTGACAGAGCCGTTACCTGTACTCGTGATACAGCTGAGGTCAAACCATCTGATGACCCTGTAACATCACCGATCCCATCACGAACACACAGTCCCCAGAAAGTTATTGACAATGCCAATAATCAATATATCACTCGTTCGGGTCGGGTTGTCAAACCCAAGGTTATTGCCTCAGTGTAGTTTTTACCAGTTTTAGCTCAAGATGATTGTAAGACTATACAACAGTCAACCACAGTAAGTTTGTATCAGTGTCATTCTGATAGGCTATGTAGGCCACTTCACAATATAAGTTAGAATTTACAGTCAAGAATTGACAACCTTTGATTTATTAGTTGTAATTCAAGTTTGAAGTGTTAAGCATCATTGAAGTAATTGAATATAATCAATATCAAGTGTCTACTCTTTGTAGTCGTTTTCTGTGCTCTGTAGTTCACTTACTGCTAATGTGTCCAACTTTTTTTTATAAGAAAAGGGATGTACTGTTATCATACTGCATTATGCCACTAGCGGCTGTGATGGTGTATAACATATTAGAGTAATCTCCCTTGGCGACCTAGCCGACGGGACCCCCTGTTTTACCAGATGTACCACCCGTGTATGTATGGCAATAAATACAAGATGGAACACAGAATGTCGTTCTCCATTATTTATTCGTCGGAGGCAGCAACAGCCTAGGGCTAGTTCAAGTGCTACAAATCATTCCCAAAGCGTGAGAATATTACAGTTTTGAAGAGTGTTTCTGATCTGTTTGTTTAGGAATATACTTCAGAATTTCTGCACGAGATTTTGACCAAGAAGTTTAACTTTTGCTTTAGGTATATTGGTGATCTGATAAGAGTTTAAAAATAGTCAATTAGCCAATTCCCTTCAACAAGTTTACCCATCTGAACCAAAAATATTGGTTGGTTGGTTGGTTTGTTGTTTAACGCCGCACTCAGCAATATTCCAGCTATATGACGGCGGTCTGTAAATAATCGAGTCTGGACCAGACAATCCAGTGATCTATATCATGAGCATCGATCAACGCAATTGGGACCGATGACGTGTATCAACCAAGTCAGCGAGCCTGATCACCCGATCCCGTTAGTCGCCTTTTACGACAATCATAGTCGCCTTTTACGGCAAGCATGGGTTGCTGAAGATCTATTCTACCCCGGATCTTCACAGGGGAGACAAGCATGGGTTGCTGAAGACCTATTAAAAGAGGCCAGTTGCAACGCCTCATCTGTTTCATATCTAGATCGGTGTATAAAGGTTCAGAGTGAGTGAGTGAATTGGGTTTTTACGCCGCTTTGAGCAATATTCCTGCAACATCACGGCGGGGACACCAGAAATGGGTTTTGAACATTGCACCCATGTTGGGAATCGAGCCCGGGACTTCGGCGGGACGAGCGAACGCTTTAACCATCAGGCTACCCGACCGTCCCATAAAGGTTCAGAGAGACAAAAGTTTATCCACAAGACTTCCGATTTCCAATAGTCAACCCTACCTATTCCAGCAATATTCAAGCAGGTCCAGCCTTTGTGTGTACATTTCACAACTTATGATCAGGAATACAGCATTCAATGCCATATTAAAACTTTTACTTTTTAAGTTTTGTGGTCGACATATGGCAGATATGTCCAAATTTGACTCATGGGTGACCAAACGTATGCCTGACGCAATTACTTTTGACTACAATGTTCCCATGTGTGTTCATGTATACACTTGACTTGCCCTTGCACGTGTTTGTGACGAGTGCCACCCGTGGGGCAGGATACGCTCACCTTGTCCCGAACACCTGGTATCATGACTATTGGACAGTGATTCATAAACACCTGTTTGTGATGTAGTCTGACTCTGGTTTTAACAAATACGTCAACTGAATAAAGGACATTGTTTTGTCGTTTTTTAGTTGACATTATATACTCAAGGTCCTTGTCATTTGTGAAACAAGAAAATTCATTAAACAGATGATTTATTATTCACATTGATACAGAATGGAACACATACCATCATGCATAAGCACACAATAACAAGATAATAAATGCACAATTATTTTATGATAACTTCATGAATATTATTATTGCGAAGTATCCATGATTTGGGCTGTACACAATTATTAGCCTGTTATACAGCAGAAGCATTAAGCAAAGGTTTTGCATTTATATTATCATTCCAACCTACCGGGTACCCTTCGCGTTGCCTAAGGAGACACCACAAACAACGTACGAGTTTCAACATCGGGCAACCCGAAGCCCTAGAAATTCTCAGTTTGTCAAGCTTGCAGAAAACAATCACCCATCCCGCTACTCTCCGCAACCAACTTACTTAAGTTCGCCTGGTTTTCTGTACACAATGCAACGTGCAAATAACACTAAACGTTTATGGAACCAGACATATAAGTAGGCCAAGGGAATAACCATGGCCGAAACGCATCGTGGTCAAGGTTCTATAATGAACGTTTTCCAAATTCATCTCTCCAATTTCTTCACTGTTGCCAAAAGAAATATAGACCACATTACCATGCAGAGTGAGACTTATCGGTTTTCCTCGAAATGAGGTCACGCTAAAAACTCTTTTATTTGACACAGAGATTTTGAATAGTTTTCGTTTGGAAGTGTAATACAGCATCTGTTTTACATGGTCAAATACAGACGCGTAGAAAGGGCCTTTCATGGGAAATACATGTTTAGATTTACCATGGTATGTAGCGGATGTTATCGCACAGGCGCTCACAACATATACTCGGAGATGACGACAATCTAAGGAAAGACTTCTAATGTCTTGTAGTTTGAATCCCAACATTGTCTGTGATGCTCCATCTGTTCTCATCCTCCACAGACCATCATCCGAGGCAAAAAACACAAGCTCCTTCTGATCATCGACAACTATAGCTCTTGTACTAGTATTCTTCTTGAGGACGACGTTGTGCCAATGATCTAGAGAACACGACCTCAGCATTTTGGCCTTGCCTTCACCAATCAGGACACGCCTCAGTTTAGGTACATAAGCCAGGGACTGAATGCCAATTGCCTTGATAAATGGATACTCCTTTTCTCGTTGGCTTATCAACAAGAACTCTCGCATATGCTTCTTCAAGCGAGTGTGTTTTGGTACCACCAGTAATCGATGCATTGGGATTTCTGCTCGAACCACCTCCTCTGCTAATGCGTGAGTGTAGGCTGCAATAAGAACATTTTGAAGGTAAAGGGAGGCCCAATTTTTGTTTTGTTCTTTGATGTTAAACGCCGCTCTCAGTTTTCACGCTATATGAGTCGGTCTAAAAAAATCGAGTCTGGACCAGACAATCCAGTGATTGACATCATGCGCATCGATCCGGGCAATTGGGATCCGATGACATGCATTAATTATAACCAAGTCAGCGAGCCTGACCTCCCGATCACGTAAGTCGCCTCATACGACAAGCATAGTTAGACCAATAAATTATTCTAACAAATAACACCATTGTATGTACATGCAGCAAATACTAAACGACTCATGTTATAGGGGGATATTCTCATTCAATATAGTAATGAAATTGAGCGGAATTCTTTAGACGGTACAGATTAATAGTTGGAATTATAGGTGGGGTGAAATAGGGTTTAACGTCGCGTCCACTTATAAAGCGACGTGCATGCCGACCAGTCCTTGTTCTAGCCCCTTAATGCCAAGCGCCAGACAGGGTAACAACAAGTACCGTCTTTTTACTTCTTTTGGTATGACGGTCCTTCCACTCTCCGGGCGGACTCGAATTATAGATTTCACAAAGAGGAGAAACTTCGAAATTCCTTGTAAGAGATACTGACTGAAATTATTAAAATCCCTTAAATAGGCAGTTTTAATGGTTGTTGTTGGTTGGTTTGTTGTTTAACGCCGCACTCAGCAATATTCCAGCTATATGACGGCGGTCTGTAAGTAATCGAGTCTGGACCAGACAATCCAGTGATCTATATCATGAGCATCGATCAACGCAATTGGGATCGATGACTTGCAATCAACCAAGTCAGCGAGCCTGACCACCCGATCCCGTTAGTCGCCTTTTACGACAAGCATAGTCACCTTTTACGGCAAGCATGGGTTGCTGAAGACCTATTCTACCCCGGAATCTTCACGGGTCGCAGTTTTAATGAGATTGGTTCGTCTTGGACGACTTAACCCTTGTTAAGGGTTCAAATACGTTTGCTTTCACAAAAGAAGATCATTTTGGGTTACAGGCAGTCAACAACAGTGTCAAGGATTGTTGACCAAGAATCTATATTCTACCTCAATGTGATCCTTAAAAAGAACACATTTAATACCTGCGTCATATAGGTACACACGGTTCATACTGTCTCATGTATTGTGTCTTTTTCTTTTTTTTTAACGCCGCACTCAGCAATATTCCAGCTGTTTGATGGCGGTCTGTAAATAATCAAGACTTGAAAAGACAATCCAGTGATTAACGTGAGCATCGATCTTAACAATTGGGATGCGATAAGACGTATCAACCAAGTCAGCGAGCCTGGTCACCTGATTCCGTTCGTGGCTTCTTATAATTACCACCAGGATGGTTTGCTATTCTCACTGGGAACTGCACGGATCGTCTAATCTGTTAATTAT